GTATCAGGTTTTGTACTGATTGCTTGGGAATGCAGTTGTTGGGAAGAGTAGATGTTCCAGATGAGCAATACACAAGTGCCTTTGTTGCTTTTGGTCCTGAGGAATCACATTTTGTTTTGGAGATGAGATATAGTATGTTCTTAACATTTTAAAATTAATGCTAGAGATATACAGTATGTGTATCTTTTGGTCAATATGTTGTTGAGTTTGTTATATAAACCTTTCTGCAATGCATATTTGGTTTTCAGAATGTTTATCCAATGTTGTACTTGCATTATTGCTTATACAGCATTCTGATAAGTTCACCAAAGTAGTTAAAAAAAATAAAAAATTTAGGGACTGATTAATCCTGTCACACGTTGCACCCCATTTACACACATATGTTGTCTTGTTTTAGACACAAACCTCGTGTTACTGGATTTATGTGGTAAAAAATGTTAGGGATTTTATTGGGCGCTCAGAGCTAAAAGTTGCTTCTATCTACTTCCTTTGTAATATATGCCTGGTTATGTAAGTTGTACTTTATTTGCTCTACTTATTTGGTATACATTCATTAAACTTAGAGTTGTGGAAGTTTTCTGTTAAAAATTGGTTGTGTCAAAAGACTATAAGTCAATGGGATCAGTATTATTATGAATATGTTTATCTCTTCGGGTGGTGCAAATACATCAACAACTAAATACTTAAGATCATTTGCCAGAGTAAATAGAGAAAATACATTATCAATATTGGAGTGGTGGATTATTATGTTCAGTTGTGTTCCATTATCATCAATTAATGTTGTAGATATTGTTTTGTCAAGTTAGGCTATATTTTAATGTACTTATAGAGCTGATTGGCAGATTATGGAGTAGATAGTATGGATCGACAAGATGGTTTCGGACATTTTGGAATCGCAACTCAAGATGTGTGTATCAGTATCACTCTATTGTTAAGGTTTAAATTCATATATACGGATTCATAAATGATGAACTCATATCTTGTATCCGGATATTCTAGGTCCGTGAAATGGTTGAGGATATACGGGCTAAGGAAGGAGTCATCATACGAGAACGTGGTACACTGAATGGCGAAAATTCATTCAATTCAGTCGTTGCCTATGTTCAAGATTACAACTATACTTATAAGCTGATTGAAAGGGATCCAACTCCTGAACCATTATGTCAAGTTATGCTTCGTGTGACCAACCTGGACCGCTCTATCATGTTTTATGAAAAGGTATGTCAATCTGATTTTACAATTTGGTGCTGAACAATTTGTTTTTAAGATATCTGATATTTACTAATTAGCTAACTAACATTGACACTGGTACGTGTGTGGGTGTCTGACACGGGTACTGAGTATCGGACATAGGCGAGATATCAGAAAATGAGAAATTATTAAGCTAAAAATATGTATCCGTATATACTTAGATTTTTTTTTTATACCCATGTTACATAGGTAACTAGTATTTTTCTCAATAGTATTTTTACGATATGTCTAATGATTAAGACACAACCACCAAGTGGAATAATGTAGAAAGTGAAAGAGATACCATTGACATATGGATGAATTACTAAGGTGTCACTAATGAGTATTGATTTAATAAGCTAATTAGAAAAAAACAACGTGTGAAGGTTGTAACTTGTATTTATCTAAACTTATAAATTTTAACTTTTAAGGGATAATTGTTCATATCCTCTCCATCTTTAAACCTTGGTAAATCTATATCTAATAGAGGGGGGT